CCCCGGCCGCCGGCCTTTCGGCAGCCTTTTCTTCAGTAGTTGCTGTTTTTTCTTCACCCCTTCCCTCCCTTTTTTATTTTCTCCCCCTGCAGGTGTGGTGGTGTCTGGCTGGGAGCAGGGGAAGGCAGGGCAGCCATGCTGCGTTCCTTCAGTTACCTGACTGATCACACTGGCTTCTGTGGTACTATCAAAAGCTCAGCAAGTGACTTCGTAGTGACAGAAATCGAGGTGCCTGAACATGTACTTAGGGATACCCGGGCTGAATCACATCAGAAAACCAGCGAAGAGCTGCTAGAACAAAGTATCCCGTGCCTGCAGCAACCCAAAAAGCTGAGAATGGAGTCTCCCGGTCCGTGTGCTGAGGGCTGTCGCAGTGGTGTGCCCAGTCCCTCGGAGCGTGGCCCAAGCCGGGCAGGAGGCAACTGTTCTGCATCCCCTAACAAAAACCAGCGTGAGGGTGCGCCTGAACTGAAATCCGGCCTTGAGGAAACCTGCATACTCGATTCCTTACTGGGCAAACCCATGAGTGAACAGCTTAATAAATTTGCTTGTGATCTGAAGGATGCGTGGGACTTAGACAATAACGCCAATGCTGGCACTAGGGAGTTCTCGCTGGGAGCTATACTGGACAAGAAAAAACGAGCTGATTTACATGGTGCTGTTAGGCAGAAATTCCCCTTTCTAGTCACTGTTACGAAAGACAATGAAATGATTGTAAAAGGAAATGCTGATTACAGAGAACTTTGTCAGTTAGTGACCGAAAAGGAAACAAGTGATTTCTTTAAATTTTTAGATGCAAAGCTAGAAAATTCTACGTTTGCTTTTGAGCCTGATGGAAACAAAGAGCACAGAAAAGTAGTTCACCACTTTGTCAATAGAAAATTTGGAAAACTTTTAGAAACAAAGTCTTTCACTGTGACAGATGTCAATGATCAGCCAAATATGTCAATAATGGTACGATTTCGAGAAAAAAGTTGGTCCAGAAAAAGGTCTGCTGGTGGTTTCCAGGAAAAACAAGATCTTTATACAGGTAAATATTACATTTTTAGTGAAAGTGTCAGGTGTTAACGGTGTTCCTTAGTAAGACTGAGACTCGGAATCATTTTTATATGATACATAGGCCTGGTTGACCCATTGTTTATGCTGAAATAAATCATTATTAATGCAGTGTAGTTACATCACTGGTGAATGAGATGGATGAATCACATTACTGCAGTGTTTTTACAGAAAGTGTTCAATGATTATGGTTACAGTTCTTTTGGTTGTAGCACCAACTCTGTTATTCCCTGTGTGCTAGCTTTCCCTTGAAAGTCATTGGGGCATTTTAGAAGATGAATCTAGAGGTTGGACGAGGAAGTAAGGTCAAATTTGGTTTATGATCTCATTCTTTAAAGCAGTAGATTTCTGATACAGAGGGTGTTTCTAGCAATAAGTCAATATATGTTCGTTGAATTGTGTTGCTTTCGATCAAGTACTGTTTTTAAAGGCAGCAGGAGTTTCTGGTTGTTCTAAGAGTTTTGTGTACTGTGTCTTTACTTTTCTCTTTCAATACTGAAAAAGTCCCATTTCTTTTAGTTTTGTGGGGTGGGAGGACTGTTTCTTTGCAGTTTCCATGCTATTATGGTTTGAAGTGAAGAACCTTCCCATCTGTCATGGCAGAACACCTGTATGATTTAGAAGCGCAAATTCCTAATAATTCTGAGATGATTGTTTCAGCTTTCACCCTTCAGAAAGAAAATCTAGAAACACTAGAAGCAATCGGCTTCTTGGCTGCTGAACTTGGTGTTCTTCCTTCAGACTTCAGTTACACTGGCATCAAAGATAAGAAGGCTATTACTTACCAGCCTATGGTTGTGAAGAAGGTGACTCCTGAGAGGTACTTAAAATCTGGGTGCATTCAGTTCAGTGCATACTTTTACATGTCAATAAGTATCAACCTGATAACAATCTTCTGAAATGTTCTTACTGATGTGTGTTCCCTTCTCCTGTATTAGAGCACAGTGGAAAAGGTTTTAAAATTTTGTGGCTTTAGGGATATACAGCTTAGTGCTGAAATCCCCTGGTGTTGGAATTTAAAGAAAAGTCTTGCCTTTCTCTGTACCTTTCATAATATGAATATACTGTATTGTCTGGGACAGTATCCTTCCAATTCATGCTCATGTGATCCGCTTCACAGTTTCTTGAATACCATCTGCCAGCTGGGACCAAGGAGCCTATACTACATGACGCAATAGGTTTCCACATACTCTCAAAGTATTGTCTTGTGGTCCACAGACAACAACTTAAAAGCTTTATACAGCTACAAAACTAAAGTAAATCATTACAAATACACTTTGGACAGATGCTGTCTTTGAGTGTTAAGTATCAACTTCTATTGTATTGTCCAATTTAGAAACATGAGACTAAGTAAAGATACCACCAAACCTGAGGGCAGAAAATACATGCTGAATAACATACTGATAATACACGATGTGCCTTTCCATACCTTGTTTTTGTCACTCTCTGTAGCCAACTCAGTGGGTAAAAAATATACATTAAGTTCTGCCATAGTAACAGTAAAAAATTGCTGGAGTCAAACCCATAACTTTCTTCCTCGGCTTTAACTTTCTAGTGGGTTTTGGTCTTAGCAACAAAGTACACTTCACAAATAAAGTAAAGTAGAATTTATGGTTTTAGGTTTTATTACTAACATAAATATATATCAATAGTAAAATTCTACTGCAAACTGGACTGTAAGGCCAGTTGTTCAAGAGATAATTAGCAAAACTTTGCATAAATTTTTAAATGATAAGGCAAAATAGTTAAATGCTTCCAAGCCACTAGCATAACAGGGAAAATAAATAATTTTAATAAATAATTAGTTTATAAAGTTATTAAAATATTGCTTGGTATGTAAGCTCTTATGCTGAAAACTTCCTTTGACTTGAATGACTATTACTTCCACATAAGAACAAAGAGACTGAGCGGATACTTTAGAGGGCAAATACTTGAACTGTCAGCTGTGTTTCCAATTACAAGCATGTGCAAGCATACCCAGAGAATCCGTGCACTGAGTTTGTTTTTGTTAAGGCTGACCAAGAAAGAGCAATTGTGTTTTGCAGTCTGCTAGAGCACATTACTTTTTCTTTTTTTTTTTTTTTTTTAATGAAAAGCAGATTTTTAGGACTGAAGAATAAATTATTTGTTTTTCAATAAAAAATGCAAAATTCAGTGCAGTTGCCTTGGGAAAGTTCAGTGAATTGCTTCATTCCAATATCTGCCGAGCTACAGAGTATAAGTGCAAATGAAGCAATCATTTTAAAAGTATTTCTGGACTGTAACTAAATTTTAAGACTTCTATATCTGCATTTGATTTGGGTTTTTCGTAATAATCTGGTTTAAATCCCTTTTTATTTTTTTAAGTGTTTTTAATTTTAGTGCAAAGGTGAAGAAGACATTTATTAGAAGTTGGATAGCTTTAGTAGAGGATGATTCATAATTTCTCCCAATTATTTATGCAGGTTGAAAGAAATTGGAAGCAAAATGGAAAAAAAGGGTATGAGAATACACAACATACACTCAGCATGCCAGCACCTTAGACTTGGTCAGCTGAAGGGCAATCACTTCGATATAGTTGTGAGAGATCTCAAACCCCACAGTCATGACTCTTCTGCAGATTTGAAAGAGAGAATATCTGAAGCAATGGAAAATGTTGAGGTAAAAAAGCCTTATAGTTGTCAATAATGAACATAATGAACCGAGTTTTAATTCTGTGCTGTAAAAAAAAAGTAATTGTAAAGAAAATGCTTGTAATAGCACAATAATGGCACTATTTCCCAGTTTTGATGCTTTTTGCTATTTTATGTCTTTCCTGCATTGCTTAAGGAATCCAGAATAAAGCTGCCTTCCAAGGAGGGACCATAGGTGAATTCATTCTGTGTTCCTGACTGCAGACCCCAGAGTGGTGCAGCAAGACAGATGGGAAATCTGGTAGCAAATGAGTGTGGATATATGTGCTATTGCTGCACAGACCTGAGACCAAATGAAGTGATGTGTTTCACTGTGGCAGTTGACAGGGTGAAGGAATGTAGTTACACGTGTCAACCGATTGCCTTTTTTGGTGATGTGAGGAACGTACATGGTCGGCTCGGGTTAAAAAATTTCATGGCATAAATACGTGTGAAATGTCTGTAGCAGAGAAAGAAGATCCCCTGAAATTCAGTGGATTTTGACTGCTGTTAGCCTTAGTCCCTGAAGAAAACCACATCATTGGACATTCTTAAACCACTGAGAAAAGCAAAAGCAACTCATGGAAAGGGAAAACTTGAGGTCTTTTGTACAGCGGTAATTTTCTTGCCCTGTCTTTCTAAGGAATAACTATAATACAAATTACTTTAAGAAGATTAATCCAGGAATAAAGACTTGAATTAAAACTACCTAGTGTGCAAAAGCGAAATGCATTATATGTATTTTGGAAATTAATTTTATTATTGAAAAAAGTATTCAACTAGTACTTTAATGCTTTTCTCTCTCTGCTCCATCTGACTTTTTTTTTGTTTTGCTGTTTGGAAGATGAACACAAATTCCTATGTGTGTGTCTTGCTTTATTAGATTTAGCTTACTGGTCAGATGATGAATGACAAAGACAGCATGTGTGTTAATCCAAAATACGGATTTTTTTATTTTCCATGCAAACAAAATAGCGTATGGAATCTCAGGATGTCCAAAGCAAGGTTATATAATTTGAACTGAATAACTATTTCCAAAACAAATACTGTAATTTTACTGCCCACCTGTGACGTAGAGCTCATCAGGAGGCTTAAAATCCCCATTAGCAGAAGTGCTCACTCTTGGTCTTTACTATTGTAATAATAATACAAATGATCTCGTGAAAAAAAAATTAGTATTTTTAAGAAAAAATGTCCAACAGTGGTTACTGTTCATTACCTGTGCTATGCCGCATTTGCTTGAGTAGAGGTTTCATGATGTGGCACATGTAAAAAGCTCGATTACTTTGACTTGATCTGTAGTTGTATTTATAATAATTAACTATATAGAAATAATTTTGTTTCATTTACCTATTTTTTTTAATGAAAGTGAAGACAATGGTAGAGCTTGGTTGTCTTTTCAAATGTTTCTAAATTAGGTGGTAAAATATTGTAATGAATCATGAGTTACGATTTTCTTACATATTACTTCTGATTAAAAAAACAGTTTGCATGCATTTTGAATGTAAATGTAGATGTATGTGTGTTGTATGCTTAGTCTTACTAATTTTAGCTGGTACTTTTGTGCTTTTAACATATTTATTCTATCATTTTAGACAAAAGGTTTTGTAAATTACTACGGACCTCAGCGATTTGGACAAGGACAGAATGTTCAGACAGATCAAATAGGATTGGCTTTACTGAATGAAAAAATGGTATTTTCATTTTGTAATTTAAGTAGTTACTGTCAAGTTGATTTCACATTACTGTTGCAATGTCTACTGGTGGAGCTGACCTTCCCAGTGAATAATTTCATTTGTGAGATAAACCCATATGTGTGCTGGAAGTAATTGCCAGATCAGTTTTGACAACAACATAAGCATGAAGATCTTCATACTGAAACAAAAAACCCTCCACTTTTTTAAAGAGCAGGTGCAGTTTTACATAGTCCAGGAAGTGATTTTTCTGTCTATGTGACTGTGATCGTCATCATGCCACTTGGCAGGAAAGTGGCTGCATTCCATACAAAGTACGAACAGTAAAATGAAGCAATCTTTATACAATGTTTATTCATGGTCCTGATTGCCTCATAATTTGTAGCCTCTTTATCCTGCTGGGGGTCTATATACTTCTTAAAAATGTCACAAGATATTACAGAGGATCATATAAAAAGATTTGCTCTTTCAATGCCACAGTAATTTATCTGCTATATAGAAGAGATTATTGCTTTCCATTATTCCTTGGCTACTTTCCCAAACTCTTGGTTCTGAGTGATTGCTCCCATGTTGTCTAAGGAGAGCTTATTTCTTAAGTAATGATTCATAGGAGTCATATACTTTTCAATATATATGGTATAGTACTTGGCACAGGTCTACAACAGAATCACGCACTACAAAGTCAGATGAATACTTGAGTATCCTTTTCTTCTAATCTTGCTTTGATTCTGAGAAAAGTCAGGAAAATGTATCCTCCAAATATAAGAAGAATCAAGATTTGAGGGCAGGCCATAAAAGTTACTGTTGATGTATTGGACATCTTGAATTCTGGTATGTTAGCAGTTGGTACCAGGTGCCAGTCCCTGAAGAGTAATGATTTAAATCTCTAGACTTAACTCAGTTACTTTCTAATTTAAAACATGGAGGAACTACTATTTATATGAAAAATGTGCCAGTATATGCTTGCACAGTCCAACACAGAGGAGGACAAGAACCGTGACAGATGTCACAAGTTGGTATAAGTGCTAGCAAATTGTGTGGCTCCACTGGTGTTGCAAGTAGCAGAGGTTAGCGTCCTGTTTTCCCTGTCACAGTGTCATCTAATCTAATACAGATCAGTATAAAAAAAAATAACTGTTGTCCCTCTGTGTGAGACTGTGGAAAGTGTTCAGTCTAAATTTTGCATGAAACATGCAAATGGCAAAGAAGGAACCTTCCTGTTCAGGGTGGAATGATGGCATTATAAAGTGGAGGAGTTCTACCTGGATGTTCAAGAGCAGTGACTGATTTCTCACAGAGCTTTGAAAGCTGTCTTGTGTCTTCTGTGTGACTAAAACCTTTCTTTAACCTGAGAAGGAGCACAGCCACATTGGTTTGCTGTTCATGGCATCTTCTGTGAAAGGGAGAATTTGACTTTGACCTTGAAGAGCTGATATAATTTTGAGAAGTTGCAGAATATGTTAACACAGAATCAGGTGCATGATTGTCTGTTTAGTTGACAAATAGTTATATTTAAATGCAAAAAAAAAATTATTAATATTGTTGTTTAAAGGTGAATGCTGTGAAGTTATTCTTCACACCCGAAGACACCGATGACCCTGTAAACAACGCAAAAAGATACTTTATTCAAACTGGTATGTCCAGTTAAATTGTCTGTATATTTATTCAGGGTTAGTATTGTGAGGGAATAATGTGTTGCTGCAGAGAGAGATACTTTTTATTTTGTTACTGATTTATATCACTTAATAGCTTATTCTGTGGGACTCAGTAGAGTTGCACAGTTAAAAATTAAATGAAGATGAGGCCCTAAATGTGCAAAATAGTGGAAAACTAATGTACTTCAGGTGCAAGACATTACAGAAACAAATGCTGTATAGCATAATGCTGGAAAAGGCTAAAATAATTTTATCAGAGCAGTTTTAGCCTCCTTCCATCTGTCTGCTTTTGGAATATAAACTTCTCCTCCCTAATAAAGGAGGTATGCAGGAATGAGAAACCCAATTCATACTCAGCACTTACCATGTGTGGGTATCTAATTTTCTGTGATTTCTATGACAATTTTAGCTCTTGTATTTTGCACCTTTGGGCTTTGCTTTTACATCTCTTTAATTATGTATCTCTTCCATGCTTTCCTGTGATCTCCTTTCTGTCTTGAACTAAAATCGACAAAATATGTCAAAGGCAGAAGTGTGCTGAATAAAATGCTCTCTTTGTCATATTTACTGTTTTTATCATTCAATATTATCATTCATATTATCTTCTCTTTCTCTCCAAAACTAAAAATTTGAAGTTGCTCTCAACTTCAAATATAATTGTTCTTTTAAAATATATTTATTAGCGTGCTTATCACTGTAGATTGACAGAACAACTATGATATATAGCTTCAAGAGATACAGATACAATTCATTTCATGAACCATTCTGTACTGTACATTGCTGTATTATGCACGGAAAGACATTGATGTGAACTCTGAAAACAGCTGCTTGCTTTTTCCTGAAAGCAAAAGGTAAAAAGCTATGCAAAAGGCTTAATTAGATAATCGCTTGTAATGAGAAAATATGTAAACTATAAAATTTTAAATATACATTTATATAATGTAGTACAAATATGATTAAATATATTTTCATCTTGGCAGAGACTCAGACTTCCCAGTGGCCAATGCAGTTTGTACCTCTAAAATAAAGACATATTGTTTACTCCCTATGAGATATATGTTCTTAAACAGTTGCCCAGAGAAATTGTGGATGCCCCATCCCTGGAAACATTCAAGGCCAGCTTGGATGGGGCTTTGAGCAACATGATCTAGTAGAAGGTGTCCCTGCCCATGGCAGGGAGGTTGGAGCTAGATGATCTTCCAACCCAAGCCATTCCATGATTCTGTGATAAAAAGTAGAGGTTTAATGTTATTTTAGAGCTTGTTTTTTACTTTCAGTTACTTGATCTAAAAAAAACTTTGGAGGGATGAAGTAAGTTCCTGGGGAGAAAAAAAATACAAACTAGACTGAATAACTGAATGACAGCTAGTTCAGTTTATACTGCATGAAATAGTTGGGACTCTGTTGATAGGCATATACGATGAAATTTGTCTAACATGACACATTGAAGGAAAGGGAATAATAACCTAAAAGTCAGCATAAAGAGATCAGACTGACAGCATTTTTCCCAACCTGATTATTTCATCTTTTTAAGTGTATTTTTTCTTGACAGGTAATATTTGAAAAATCAGGGATTACTTATATGGTTTTTTTTGTTTATATCAGAAGATGCAAAGGGTGCACTTGTGATGATGCCAGAATTTAAAGTGAGAGAGAAGATGTTGCTACGAGCTTTAAATCGCTATGGTGTAAATCATGAAGGTTGTACCAAAGGATGGCTCAATATTCCTCATTCCATGCGCATATTCTATGTCCATGCTTATTGCAGTAAAATTTGGAATGAAGCAGCATCATATAGGCTGAGGATTTATGGTTCAAAAGTTGTTGAGGGTGATCTTGTCCTCTCAGAAGAAAATGGTGAAAGTGTTTCCCTGAATGACAAGGTGAGTCTTCACAAAATAGTTCTCACTAAAAAAAAAGAAAAAAAAAAAAGCTTAATGCACTTGAATATATACTCGAACTCTAATGCTTTTTTTTTTGGTTCATTCATTAATATTTATTGTAGTGACAAAGGTGAAAACAGTGATGTAGCTTTTTTTGATTTACCATAAATAGGCGTATAAGCTAGATGTGTATTAGTAGCTTTTATCTGTTCTGACTGTTCATTTTATTCAAGTGAGAAGGAGGAACAGAATGTCAGAATTGATATATGTACAAATTTAGAATGCATGGTATATAATGCTCTTAGGATCCAACTGGGGAAAGCCTTCAGAGTGGACTCTGTGTTTGCCTGTATTATCAGTCAGTGCAGAGCTGAGTCTTGCTCTCTAGGTCAGACCTTCGCACTATATATATTAATGAATGTAAGCCCATGGTGAAAGGTGGCCTCAGACTGAACTGATAACCTCATTGCAGCTACACAGTCAAAGCATGTGTAGCACAGTTTCACTTACTCAGGCAATTAAACCAGGTTGGGTCTAAACAATTAGCAGCTGTTCAAAAAACACAGCAGTCTTCTTGGGAAGGTGGTAAAGGGCAATGGCGTGCTTCTGCTTGCCCACAGCACAGATGAGCCAATGGGCAGAAGCCAGCAGTGGAATGTCTGGTCCCAGGTCTTGGCATGCTGAAGTCCATTCTGAAGCCACCTCTTCTTTCAGGGTTAGCATACCTTTTCATTATTGTGGAAGCAGTTGGGTCTCTTCTCCCAAGTAGCAAGTGATAGGACAGAGGAAATGGCCTCAAGTTGTGCCAGGGGAGGTTTAGACTGGATGTTAGGAAAAATTTCTTCACTGAAAGGGTTATTGAACATTGGAACAGGCTGCCCAGGGAAGTGGTTAAGTCACCAGTAGAAGTGGTGCTTGGGGACATGGTTTAGTGGTGGACTTGGCAGTATTAGGCTTACGGCTGGACTTGATGATCTTAAGGGTCTTTTCCAACCTAAGTGATTCCATGATTCTGTCTTTCTCCTGATCATCAGATAAAGTGTAGAATTTTGCAGTGTTTTACTGGATAATAAGCAAGTGTGTGCATAGGCAAAATGTATCTCGTTTCCTTTGGGTGAACATCTTAAAAATTTGAAAGCAAGAACACTTGAAAGATTACTGAATAACCTCCAGTCATCGTAGAGTGGCTTCTGTTTCCATTGTGAATTTTCTTCAACAATATTTTTGAGAATGAATGTTAAGAAAACAAGCAGATCAAATAAAATGAAAAGCAGAGGTATCTGATTCACTATTGAGTTATAGGTATATTCCTATTTAATATAAAACATTTTTCTTAGTATTTTTGCTTCTGCTGATGTAGCACAAGATTGCATTGGCACAGTTAACTTCAAACTCAAAGAATATGAGTTTGGAGTGATGGTTTGCTAATTAGTGGTAGGTAGCATCAGTAAATATTTAATGCAAGGCCATTTACCAGTAAATGGACTACTTTATATTAAGAGTGTCTACTATTTTTCATACCTGAAATAGACTATTGTCGTTGTCAAGTAACCTTGGAATCCTTTACTAGTTTGGGAATACAGTGCATGATTCCTAAAATAAAGCATATGTTTTATTTTTTAAAAGTTTTTTTTCTTAACTTCTTAAATGTCTTGTCAGGTTCATGTAGTCACTGCTGCAGAAGAGTCAGCTAGCAAATACTCTATAAATCAAGTAAGTCTGTATGAAAAATTATGAGTCGTTGATCTCTTTATTTGATTAAAATATTTTTTTTTAAAAATAATTTGATTAAGATAACTAGTGCAATTGTCTTCCTTGCCAGAATGCACATTAAAGAAAACACATGTGAACTAATCTGCACTATCATAACAAACAGGAGAAAAGAATATTTACTTTGTAGTGGAAATAAGTACAGTGTCATTTGCAGTATGGCAATATTTATCTTGAAGCTGAATGTAAATACTTGAATTTTTTTTCAGTCTACCGAGAAAACATCCAAGAGCAGTTGAAGTTCTAATTTTTGAAGGTTCAGAGTACATAGTTGTGAAGTCGTACATAGGCAACGTAATATCTTTATAGCTGTATCTTTCCCAATAAGCAAGGAAATTCATGTTAGTATATTTCTAGTTTGTTTTAGGAATCCTGATACATTGATTATTTTTTCTGCTTTAATTACATTCAAGATACCTGCCTTGGACAGCTTTATTTCACAAGACCAACTACTGTTTTACTATTTTAGGCCCCAAAACACAAGATTTAGACACATTTAAAACTGTAATCACATTTATGTGAAGAGGAATTAGTGGACTTTATTTCAAATGTGTTTGTTGTTTTCTTTTTTTCTTTGAAGGTGGTTCTTCCAATGGTGGGACACAGTATCCAGTATCCCAGTAATAAAGTTGGACAATGGTACCATGAAAGGCTTTCTAAGGATGAGCTGCAGATGTGCAAATTCAGAGTGTCTCCATTACAGCTGAATATACCTGGATGCTACAGACTCATTTTGAAAAATGTTCAGAATCTGTCATATTTTTTGGAAGGTAGTGAAAAAGGAATCAAAATTGAAGACAACCATCTGAATGAATCAAAAGTCTCTCTTCATTTATCATTTGACCTTGATCCTTCATGTTATGCAACAGTCTGCCTGAGAGAAATAATGAAATGTGACTTTTAAGATTCCAGTTAATGAAAGATTGCAGGAATATTATACAATGGTGATATTTTATGTATAATGCCAAGAAAATAAGAGAGATTAACAGGTTGAAGCCAGGAACAGGAAAAATTTGTAGATTGAGATTCATACTGACTAGGAAAAAAACACACCAAAATTCTTTGGAATGTTCCAAAACCATTCCAAATCCTAAATGCAAACCCTTGGATGCATTGGAGTAAAGCTACATGTTATGCCAGGCAGGTTTAACAGAACTTAAAGAAGCCATGGGCTACAAGCATGAATTTCACATTTGCATAGACATCTGACATGCCAAGTTAAATCCTGGGAAAATGTTGGCAGCAAACAAACATACCTTCTATTTTATAATAATTTTTTTTAAAAATGGTTCATACTAAGTGCTGTTCAAGCAGTAATGTTACAAGCTTGCAGCCTACAGGTATTGAACTGAAAAGTTGCTGTACTGAGGTTCACTAAATATGTTGTGTTTTCTTTGTGTTCAGGCACCAAGTGTTGAAAGGTAAAAGTCCTGAGTCAACAGTAACAAGTCATCTGATACTTTATCAGACATTTGATGAATCCCCCAATTTAAGTTAATGCTAAGGATTACAGGATTAAATAGTGCATGGCTGTTAGTGCCTATTTGAGTAATCTCATCAAGACAAGGTGAGTGATTAACATAACTGCAAACCCATTTGTAATAAAACCAAAACCCTGTTTCATTGTTTACAGGATGCAGACTCTGTTCCTGTTACCGTAAAGCATAATGGTAGCAAAAAAATATTAATGAAAGCATCCCTTGAAAAAAGCTTTTATACCTTTTTCTTAATAAAAGAAAAAGCAGTTGACTGTGATAGTATGAGTGCATTTGTGGAAAAGGGGAGAGAGAGCAGAAAAGTCATTTACCTTGACTTTAACAAGGTGTTTGACACTGTCCCACAATATTCTTGAAACCAAGTTGGGACATTATGGTCTGGATGAGTGGACAACCAGATGGGTAAAAAGGTGATTGGATGATGAAGCTTGGAGAGTAGTTGTTAATGGGTCATACCCTTCCTGGAGTGAGTACCACCGGGGTACCATCCTGTTTAACATCTTTGTCAGTGACCTGGAGGAGGGGATAAGTTCACCCTCATGGAATTTGCAGATGACACCAAATGAAGGGAACAGATGGATACTCTGGAGGATCAGACTGCCAGTCAGGGCAACTTAAGACATGCTGGAGGAACAGGCCAACAGGAACCTTACGGCATTCAGTAAGGACAAAGGCAGAGTGGCAAGGAAGCACCCCTGCAGCAGCAGGGACAGGCTGGGGAGCAGCTCTGCAGGAATGACCCTGGGAGCCCGGTAGGCAGCTGAACACGGGCCAGCTGTGTGCCTTGGCGGCAAGGATGACTAGCAGCCTCCTGCGATGTGTTAGCAGGGACACAGCCAGTAGACCAAGGGAATGGATTGTGTCTCATTTTTAAGCACTTGTTAGACCACATTTAACTTCCCTGTCCATATTTGATCCGCAACACGAGAAAGACATCAAAAAACTGGAGCGAGTTCAGTGGAGGGCCTCCAACCTATTTGGGGACTGGAGCACTTACCATTTGAGGAGAGGCTGAAGGAACTGGGCATCTTCAGTGTGGAGAATAGACAGCTTCAGGGGGGAACCAACAGCAGCTCCCCAATACCTATGGGGAAGTTAGCAAGAAGGCAGAGCCAGACTCTTCATGGTGATGCATGGCAGGAGAACAAGACAATGAGCATAAATTGAAATGAGAGTTTCAGATCGTTTAAAAGGAAATACTTTTCCTCTGCAAGGACAGTCCAGCAGTGGAACAGGCTGCCCAGAGGCTGTGCAGTCTCCATCTGGGGGGCTTTCCAAGACCTAATGGGATAAAGCTCTGAGCAACCTGGTCTGAACTCAGAGGCAATCCTGTTTTGCAGAGGCAGCTGGACTAGACATCGGAGACCTCTTCCAACCTGGGTTACCCCGCTATCCTAAGCAGAATATTGCAAGTGTCTGTTCAGTCTGTAGATGGCAGTATGACTTAAAACTAAAATGGAAAAGTCTACTCATTTTTACTGAGAGAGAATTAATAATGTAAATTGAATTCTGTTTATGGCATCAGTCTTTCAGTTGTTGTTAACAGCTGAGTAAGATAAATCTCCCAAGGTTTATAAATACACCTAGGATTATAGGAGTAGGAAAAACAGAAACAGAGAAATATAATTCACATTATTTCAATGCTTGTATAAAACTGTGTAGCAATGAAGGATGCAGATAATTCACTGCCTTAAATAAGAGGATTACTCTAAGTCTGTCCAAGTAATTCAAAATTTGAGCCTTAGCTTTTATGTGGGAGAATAGACTGTCATGCAAACGATAGCTACAGAGCCACTGTAGGTGACTTACAATGCTTGCTCTATTACAGTGCTTACTCTACACCTTATATAGTTTATGATATACATGCAAACTGACTGAAAAATCCACTTCCCTGCCATGACCCATCTGAGACAGCTTTGCTCCTGTCTTTGCTTTTCAGTATCACCTCTTCTGTCTTCCACGTGCCCTTAAAAATACCCCTCTTCTGCAAAATTATTTTTAACTCAAGTCATTTTGGTACAGGACAGCTCAAAAAGAGTTGTCCTGTCACCACTGACGTGGTAAAGTGCTCCAGTGTGGACAGGAAGCTGCATGCAGTTACAATGACCAGAAGGAATAAATTAGCACTGAAGTTCCATTTAAAGAGACTATTCTGGTCATCTTCAATGTGCCTCAAAACAGCTTTGGAAACCATCTCATTACATACAAGATTTGAATACGTAAGGTATTAAAAGTTGAGCCTTGATTTGGAAAAACACAAAAGGTCAGATTAAAAGGTTTTTGACTGAAAGGCATGCTACTTCAAAATAAAAGATCAGAAGACGGTGTTAAAAGAGTTCCCCTATAATCATTTTAGGCTCATTTGTCAGTACTTCTATTGAACACTAAAAGGACTAATCTTCTTACGCAAATCATTCTTTCAGCAACTTTAAGGTGAAAGAGCTAATTATGTGTGTCCATGAGTTAAATTCCTATAGTAGAAATGCTCTACTAGGGAAAAGTCAGGTTAGCTATTAGAGTGTTTATATGGTAAACATCCTTCTTACTTCAGTGGATGTTTATTTGTAATTCATTCTCTTAATCTTGGCAGATACTTTGCAGGATTATGTACGTGAACAGTTGAATTCAGGGAGTTTTGTATGAGTGCAATGCTCAGCTCCCTAAATTAATCTATATAGGCAAAGCATCTGTGCCCCTGGATTTAGAAAAGAAGATACTCATTGTGCACTGATCGGTTTAAGGAAAAGATTGATGTGTTAGTCATCTCTCATCTTACTAAGTACTTCTATTGCTACCATCCTTTTCTGATAAGCCTTAAAGCAATTTGTTAATACTAATGAAGACAGGTCTCTGTTTCTAACAAAAAGGGGTTTAAGTTCAATGGCCGGTTGACTTTTTCAGCACAGATGATAGATAATTGGGAATTTGAATGGGAAAAATGCAAATGTTCTTCATCTGTGAAGTGATGTTACTTTTAATTCATTACAAATTTGAGAACTAGTATTATCCTCAATAAGAATGTACAAATTTTCGAATCTGTCCGAATGAGATGGCTTAAAGTTACATTCCAGTCATAAAGGCAGTTCAGAAGCCAGGTAAGTATGTGATTATTGTCCCAGCTCACTCATTGAAACTCCATTAACTCCTCTGTTAGTGCCGGTGCCTGTCATCTGGTGATTTGACCTCTTACACCCAGCTGATGAGCACAAACCTCTTTTCCTTCCTCTTGCAGAACTTCTGCCCATAATAAGAGCCCAAGGGAACAAGCTGAGAAACTACTAACGCTTTCAGTCTGCAGTCATGCCTTGAAGCCCATTGGTTCAGATCTAGATTCCTTTTAGAGGAAATGAAAGGAAAAGGTGATCTCCAGCTGTGTGCCAAGCACATTCTGTGTCCAAATGGAGGAACAGGGATCCAAATGAGAGATTGGTCATTTGGACAGCTTCAAACCCTATACATGGTTTGTTCTGTGGTGGAACCTAGACAACATATAGCCCAAAGTAAAACCACTAAACCATATGTTGTGTAAGTACAGGGGCTTCAGTGTTCCAGTATGTTCTTCTGTTTCTGTCACACCAAAAAGCTTGCTTATGTAGGCATTCTCTGAGAATGTTGTGTTTGTCAAGGAGAGCAGAATCAATGAATTCAGATATTTGCACCATCTGAAGCTACTTCATTCTGCTCAGCAGAAGTCCAAATCTTATATTACAGCACTTTAAATGCATTTTCATCTTATACACAAATGCTCCTACTTGCTTAGAACAGCAAGGTTTTTAATTAGCCTTAGAAATGACTGATTTAAAAATTGATTCTACCTGTCTTTCAGAATGTTCCTGCACTTAAAGACCCAGGACACCCTCTCGCACCCCCAGAAAAAAGGCACTGTGTCTCTCATATCTCGACTGAAATCATTAATATCTGTGTGGAGCTCATAAGCCAAATTTCAGAACTCTGCATAAAAAGAACTGTAATAATACATAGCCAAACCACTCACTTGTGAAAGCACAACAGGAATCATTTAGTGATTTTTTGTATTGATACTATATAGAAACAAATACATAGAATTAAACTGGTTTTGGATTTAGTGCTGTACAACTGCAACGGTTTGGATCAAGGCTTGGTCTTTTACCTTATCCTGTCTGCAACTGTTCCTGTAAGCGGACATGTATGAAAGAGAAGGAAAGAAACATGATACTTCTATTTTCAGTTCAGGTGATTTCCTGAGCCTGAGTGGTTCTCACAGAATCACAGAATCATTAAGGTTGGAAAAGACCTTTGAGATCATCAAGTCCAACAGGTAACCCAACACCACCATGCCCACTAAACCA